ATATGTATGTAGATGATGCGTTGGTAGGGGTGCATACTGTCTCAGAAGGTTTAAGAGCGAGAGAAGAATTGATAAAAATTCTTTCATCAGCCGGGTTTGGTCTCCGGAAGTGGACGTCTAATTCTAGAGAAATTTTGGATGGTCTTGCTCGTGAGCATCTGTTAAATGAAGATTTTCTTGATCTGGGTGACAAGAGTTCTGCGAAGACATTAGGTATTCGATGGAATGCCTCATCAGATAGTTTCTACTTCGTTATAGATACAATTCAAGAAAGAAGTTCTTACACGAAGCGACAAGTGTTGTCCATTATAGCGAAGATTTTTGACCCTCTGGGCTGGCTCGCGCCGATTGTAATAACTGCGAAAATTCTGATGCAACAGTTATGGCTAGATGAGATTGGATGGGACGATCCATTAAAGCCTCTTACTCTGATAAACTGGAAGAATTTTGTCTCTACTTCGTCAGGAATCGAAGAGATTAGAATACCTCGCTGGGTAAATTACTCTCCAAATTGCAATATTGAATTGCATGGTTTCTGTGACTCGTCAGAGTCGGCTTACGCTGCTGCGTTATATTTGAGAGTTGAAGTTGGTACTGATGTCTATACGAATTTGCTCGTTGCGAAGTCCAAAGTGGCGCCGTTGAAGAAATTGTCCTTGCCACGGTTGGAACTCTGTGGGGCCTTTCTCTTAGCAGAGCTAGTCGATTCCGTTCTGCCTCAGTTGGATATTCCAAAAGCCTCTTTGTTCGCTTGGTCGGATTCGACTATCGTTTTGTCTTGGCTCAAGAAACCATCTTACTCTTGGACGACGTTTGTGGCAAATAGGGTGTCTATTATTCAGGAGAAGGTAGGGAGCGACTGGTATCATGTCCCTACAGATGAGAATCCGGCAGATTTAGCAACCCGGGGGCGGACTCCTTTAGAGCTAAAGGAGTGTGGTTTATGGTGGCATGGACCAAGCTGGCTCAAATCGCCGAGAAGTGAATGGCCCTCAGGCGCGGTTATATCCGAAACAACCCTTGAAGCTAAACCTGTAAAAGTTCATCTTGCTCGATCTGCCGTAGAAGAAGATATATTGGAAAGGTTTTCTCGTCTCTCCACTGCAACTCATGTCATAGCGTACATATTTCGGTTTGTCCAAAGGACACATCCAAAAACCAAGAAAACCGTTTGTTTTGATAGCATTAAATTAACCGCAGATGAAATTGGCTTTGCTCGTCGCCGTTTGATGTCTCTTTCTCAAAGAATCTACTTTCCTTCGGAGTATGATTGCCTCCATAAAAATCGAAAACTTGATTCTGGTAGCCCTCTTTTGTCGCTAAATCCCTTTCTCGACAAGGATGGTCTTATTCGAGCTAATGGACGTTTGAGTTCTACCCTTTCTCTACCGTACGATGAACGGTACCCGATTATTCTTGCCCCAAAGAGCAGATTTGCTGCACTGTACGTGGATCATGTTCACCGTATGACCAACCATGGTGGCATTCAGCTGACTCTGGCTACAACGCGCCTCGAATGTTGGATCATACGAGGCCGAAACTTAGTAAAAACCCACTATCGACATTGCACGAAGTGCGTTCTGGCTCAGAAGAAACGACAAACGCAGCTGATGGCTGCTCTTCCTCCCGAGAGGACTACCTTTACCCGGCCGTTTTCCACATCAGGGGTCGATTTCGCTGGCCCTATTGAAATTAAGAACTTTAGTGGCAGAGGTTGCCGCATTTCCAAGGGTTACATTTGCTTGTTTGTGTGCTTCGCCACCAAGGCGATACACTTAGAACCTGTCAGTGATCTCTCCACCCCTGCCTTTATTGCCGCTCTGTCCCGATTCGTTGCCCGGCGTGGATGCCCTCGTCATATTTACTCGGACAACGGTAAGAATTTCGTGGGTGCAGACCGTGAAATTCGTTCTAATTTGATGAAGATTGTCGCAGAGGCGAAGGACGACTCCCTTACTCGTTACGGCTTCCAGAAATTGGAGTGGCATTTTAACCCCGCCGCAGCTCCACATATGGGTGGGCTGTGGGAGGCGGGGGTTAAAAGCTGCAAGAGTCACCTGAAGAAAATCTCGGGACAAATTCGTCATACATTCGAAGAATTATCCACTATCCTTGCTCACATCGAATCGTGCCTAAACTCCAGGCCTCTTACTCCCCTGACAGATAGCATCGATGATATCAGCGCCCTTACTCCAGGTCACTTCCTCATCGGTGGACCATTACTAGCGCCAGCTGAACCCGACGAGGTAGAAAATAAAACTTCTCTTTTGAACCGTTGGCGACGGTTGAAATTGATTGCCCAGGAGTTCTGCAGACGATGGAAGTCCGAATATCTCAAGGAGCTTCAAAGGCGAACAAAGTGGAAACTGCCTCGAAATGACCTACAGGTTGACGACATTGTCGTACTACACTCTGATTCCCTTGCTCCAAACGAGTGGCGATTGGGCCGCGTGATGAAATTACACTTCGGTCAGGACGAAAGGGTTCGGGTTGTGGACATCAAGACTTTAAATGGAGTGATTACACGCCCTGTTCACAAATTGGTCCTCCTTCATCGTCCCGAATAGATCTTGCTCGATTGGCCAGTCAACGTTGACGTCTCTCCCGATGAAATATATGTCCTTGTTGTCTATTTGTTTCCTAACGATGCCTTACTCTCTTTCAGATGAGCTTCAACGATGCGTTCAAGTGTCCTTTATGCCACACACGGCATTCGTTCCGGCACTGCCGCCCCTTCTTGTCGGCGATACCTTCCGATAAGGAAGCCATCGTACGCAAGTACAATGGTTGCGTAAATTGTCTCGGTCTGGGACACCGAGCGATAACTTGCCCGTGGAATGAAGGTTGTCGGGTGTGCAATTTCGCCCACCACTCTTTATTACACCCGCTAGATAACCGTCGAGAAGTTTGGTTGTCCATGACGGCAGAGGTCTTTATCCACTTCCCAGGCCTAGATGAAACCCCACAGAAGGTGCGTGTGCTTATCGACCCGCTGCGTGAGGAGAGTACCCTTCAAATGGGATTACCCAGCCAAGGTCCATTGTATCCCAGTCCGGTACGGGTCGTTCTCACGTCAACGAACAACAATGTTCGGACATACACCACCAATTTGAAGGTGCTGGGCGAGTCAGACCTTCTAGAGCCTCGGCACCCGGTTGACTTGAAGTGCGTGAGAAAGGCGTATTTGAAGAAGGCGGTAGCGGATCCTACTTTCGAGAAGCCCGGCAAATACAATGTGGTACTCGGTAAGCCGGCATCTGAAGGCATTTTCCTGGGCCTACCCGTTTTTGAGCGCGGCATGCCATATGCCCAAAACACCGTCTTTGGATGGACATTTTTCGGCGACGTGGAGCGAAAGATTTAAATAATGTTTTTTTTTCTTACCCGTGTGAGGAGGCGTTGCAGTACCATATTTGTCCCAGAGGGACTCAACGATTGCTGGCTCAATTAACGTTGTTTTTTAACTGTATATTTCCATATCTTTCATCATAATTTATTTTATCGTCATATTTTGAATTAAAAACAGTTTGTAATTAATTTAGATTTTAGTGTCCACTAAATTGAATTTCCATGGACAATTGCATTAATTAATATTATATAGTTTAGTTGGAACCCTGTCCCAAGGGGGGGAGGATGTTCATGGGAGAAAAACGCGTGAATGTGAATATGAACCCATGAACGTCTTCCCACCCTATTGTGATTCTATTGTGAATCATTTTATTTTAGTTTATTCCTTCTCATTGTTTTCTCTTTCTATAATGAAAACAAAAACAAAACGTAGAAACTAGAGAAAACAATGAAAAAGAAGAAGATCATTTTTTTGGAGTTAGAGTTGAATTTGATTTTGTCATTCCGTTTGTTTTTTCCCAAGAGAACAGTAGTTCGACTTAATAAGAATAAATAAAAGTTATTAAAATAAAGCACAAGTGTTAGTTCTTTGGAATTGTGGGAAAATTATAGTGAATCGGTGCGAATAAACTAATAAATTAAAAGTAGTGAAATAAAGCGCCAACGAGAAATAATCATATTACAAATATTGCGTGCTATTTGCCCTTGCCCGAACAGTGGAACGTTCACTGCCTTCATCAACAGTGTGTGCTGAAACAGAACCTTGCCCAAAGGGAAGACATCGTCACCGTGCTGCACCATCAAAGCGCGTCCTGCCAAAGTGTAAGTGGATCGAGTCGACCGGGGTACCTTGAACCGTGGTGGCCGACTCTGGAAACGTTGGTAAGCACCCCAACATCTGGTCCTTCTCAACCGGGAACAAAATCAAGAGCAAGAAATAGGGTATCCATTGGTCAAAGTAAGTACCACGCATGTTTTTCACGATAATTTGTCATTTGGAGACAAACGTATATTGGCCCTAAATTCGTGGACTTTCTTTGTAAAGAAATTGAGGTTACCTGTTGCATAATTGTGACAAACAAATTCCAAAGTATTCTAAGTTATTTTTTTTTAACTGGATACCGTTGGAGTATTTATCAAGCCTTGCCCTTTACATTCGTCTTTCGCTGGATGGTGTTGTTGTAGCGAACCGGCATTTTTTTGTATTGTTTGCCCTTCATCCATTTACACATTTGGTGGCTTGCTGTTTTTTTGTGGCGCTGAGTCTTTGTCTGTGTGTTGCTGTTAGACAGACAAAAGTTGTTCGTCCGTCAGACTCATTAGCGTGACATATCGACATACGCACATTTGGTGGCGCTTTGTTTATATGTGAATGCTTGCCCTTTGCTAGGCTGTTGGTGATTTGCTGCTTGTGCGTTGTTGGCTCTGCTTATATGCATTTGCGCAGCCACTGTTGACATATTTTGGAGAGTCGCTGCTTGTGCGTGGTAGCTCTGCCTGGGCGTTTGCGTCGCCACAGTTGTTTATACGTCGCTCTTGCTCTGCTTGGGTTTTTTTGTGTGTTTGTCTACTGCGGTTACGCTGACTCTGTTTGCATGATTTATACTTTCTCGTTGTATGAGCGTTCGTATTGCTATCGTCTATTTATTAAAGCAGCCCATCCACAGACGAATTTGTTCGACGAACATGTGTTGTTTACATCGTTGGTGTTAGTGAATTTTTTGTTGGTGTTAGTGAATTTTGTGTTCGACGTTTTGTTCGCCAAAAATTAAAACGTTTCAATCTTTTTTGTGTTCGCACGAACATTTGACACAGTGGATGGCAGTGTTCGACGAACATCAGTTGAAAAATATTTTTTTAGAGTGAAGACGTGCTTAAAATGTCACAACAATTTTTATTGGAATTTATTAATTGCCTGGAAAATGAACCAGCATTGTGGCAAACAAAAAGCGACATATATAAAAATAAAAATGCCAGAAACAAATCGTGGGAAGTTTTATTAAATAAATATAAAAATGTGGATGAACATGCATCCATTGAAACTGTGAAGAAAAAAGTGAATTCGTTGCGCGCATCATATAGACGGGAACTGCACAAAATTAAAAGGAGCGAAAAGTCTGGAGCTGGAACAGACGACGTATACAAACCCAGCATATGGTATTTCGATCAGCTGAATTTTCTTCAAGATCAGGAGACTTCAGTTGACGGAATAAACACATTTGACGACAGCTTTGAAATTGAAATAGTAAGTATATTTAGAATAAAAACAATTGTTTATAAACATATATTTATTAGCAAAGTTTGAAGTATACATATAGAAAAATATAAAATATTAAATGCGGTCATTTTGCCAAGGTACTGCTCCAATTGTGTTGAAGTATTCGCGAAAATGTTCGCGAATTTCTTTGGCATCATCAGTATAATTACTGCCTTTCAACGGCTTCAAATCGTCCATTTGCTGGTCAGACATTTTGTCGGGATCTGCTGCTCCACGCAAATAAACTCGGGCATTCTCCTTGGACAAATAATTGTGTAAATAGCAGCAACATAAAACAATTACAGAAGCCTTTTCTGGCTGCAAGGATATAGTATTTAGAAGGATCCTAAATCTGCTGCTTATAATTCCAAAAGCGTTTTCTACTATACGCCTAGCTCTTGAAAGGCGGTAGTTAAAAATGAGATGCTCTTTTTCCAGCTTTTGGCGGCTGTAGGGCTTCATTAAATTCGATGAGAGGGGAAAGGCGTCGTCCCCTACTAACACATATGGTAGTTCATATGACGCATTTTTAATTTGCCGCGGTTTGGGTATACGTAGGGATTGCTCATCGTAGCGCCTTTTGTACTCCGATTGGGCAAATACTCCAGCATCTGATGCTCTTCCATTTGCTCCGACTTCCACACAAATAAATTCGTAATTTGCGTTAACTACAGCCAACAGTACAATGCTGAACGTTTTCTTGTAATTAAAATAATACGAGCCTGACGTTTTTGGCTTTTTGATGTGCACATGCTTTCCATCAATGGCCCCTATGCAGTTAATAAAATTCCATTGATTTTCAAATTCATTCGCAATATCTTTCCATTCATCCTCATTAGTAGGCATCTAAAAAAATAAAATAATAAATACATTATTACATTATTATATTTTCTTTTTCTTTTAATATTTTGTAGCCAAAGACCACTAAACGCAAACGTGACGAAGGAGCTCAGTTTCTGCAAAAAGCAGTAGAGCACTTGGACAATGTAAAGAATATAAAAGCAAAAGACAACGCTGACATTTTCGCTGAAGGATGGGCTGCGATGTTCAGGCAGCTGACAAAAGAGCAACAGCTTTTTGCAAAAAAAGGAATTGATGAGCTCCTAATGCAAGGCAGTATGAATATGCTAACATATTCATCTGTGTCAAGCATTGAAAACTTCCAGAATAATATTAATTGTCATGCGCCAGTGCCGGTTTATCCCCGACAAATTATTCGAGTCAGCACTCCCCTAACAAGTGACTCCACCAGTACATCTTCCTTTATGTCGCACTACTCTGTAGATGATAATTCAACACGCCCAGTATTGATCACACAAAATAACAACGTGGCAGCATCTTCGTATAATGATTTATTCAACAGCGATGAATATGTATAAGGATTATTAATATTAGACTTAAATGAAATTAATATTTAAATAAAACATTTTTATTCTTACTTTTATATACGGCTTAAGTATTTTAATTATTACGCCACATGTTTCGAAAACTATGCGTCCAAGACTCTGGGGAGAAATTCCAGTTAAAAATTTTAAATCTTCGTAGCTTTGGCCACTTGCCAAAAAGCGCAAAGTCGCTGAAAGCCTTTCATTTGCACTTATTGCTTCTCTCATTGTAGTATCCTGCCGATGAATTTCTGGAGCTACCAAATTTAATAGAGCTGCATATGTTTCAGCGTCCATTCTAAGAAAATTCTTTAAATCCAACCGAGAACTTTCTTTCAGTTCCTTTAAGAGTTTTGTATGTGTGAACTTTTGGCGCTTTGCATACCATTGTTTCATCCATATGCTGTGTTTTCTTTTTTTAACTTCCTCCTTATTTTTTTTTTCCTCCAAACAAACATGTATTGCCATCAAGGCAATGACTGTGTCGCGGTCGATCTCTGATGACATGTTTACTCGATGAAAATTGTTTACAAATGATGTTCGCGAGCATGTTCGCACTCGTTGGTGTGCAAATGAAATTTTTGTTCGACGAACAGTTCGTCGAACAAATTCGTCTGTGGATGGGCTGCTTAACATTCATCGATTATTTTGTTTTGGTCTTGCCCTTTGGTGGATTTGCTTGCTCGAATTTTTTCTCGTTGTTGAGTGCTGAATTATAATTCTCATTAGGAGATAATTACAAGCATACAAGGCAAATATAAACAAAAGGAAAAGTAAAGCTCAGCTGTATATAAATTTGGACAACGACGTTTAATGGAATCTATGAGATTTTGGCGAAATTGAATGTCGTGAATGGAATAAGTGAAGGTTAATTGTTAAAATTACCTTGCACAATAAAAACATAAAGAACACAATTTTGTTATTGTGGATGAATTTTGCCCTTTTTGTATTTGACACAGTGGGTCAGAAATGAGAAATTGAAAAAGTGACTTGCTCATATATAAAGATGTATACCATTTAGATGCTACTGTGAAAAATAAGTTGGTAATTGGAATACCATTTGAAACGCTTATGGCTATTTCATTAAATAACTTTCTCGTTTGAAATATCGAAACAAAAGTACATTTTTTGGGTAAAAAATCTTTTTCGTTGATGATTGAAAATTTTTCGTGGATTTGTTGGCATTAACAAAAGTAAAATTACTTGCTCATTTGGAGACTAAGAGAATTTTTTGGAACACGTAGAAAATTAAACTTGTTCGCGCATACATACCATTTGGATAATTTAATACAGTACTATTCGAAAAGTGCTTATTCTGGGTTGTTGTTTTTGGAGACATTTTTGTCGCAACTAAAGTTACAACGGAATATTTGAATACTTTGAATAAATATCTTGCTCTATATGAATTATAATTTGCGCTGGGATTCTTGCTCATTTTTGCAATAAATATATTCCTCTTTGTTGGACGTAACTATCCCTTGGATTCTTGCTCGGTTTTTTAACAACAATATTTCGCTTTGCGTAACGTTCGATAATTTCTACAATTAAATTTGAACATTTGGGATTAAGCTTTCTCGAAGAAAATGGCCAGTATTGAAGACTTTTTAAATAAGTCTGAGGAAATTATTTCCTTTGAAGAAAATTTAAAAGAGACGGATGCGTCAGGGTTTAATGAGTCTGCCGTTGAAGTTGAGAAGTCAGAGCTCAGCAGTTTATGGGCAGAATGGAAGGAAACCCTGAAAGCGTGTACCTCCGATGCTGAGTGTAATAAGAAAAATAAGGAGGTTATAAAAACAAATAAAAAACTTGCCCACCAAAGTTACGTTAGATGTGTTAATATTTTGGGGGAATGGAAGGAAAAAGCAAAAGTGTTTCCCGTTACACAAAGAGTTTCTTCCTCTGTAGCAGTCCCGCCGTGTGATATGGAAGTGTTCCAAGGGGATTATGTTTCCTGGCCCAGTTTTCGTGACTTATTCACGGCGATTTTTATCAATAACAAAAAATTAAGCCCCGTTGAAAAGCTGTACCACTTATTCCAAAAAACAAGTGGAGAGGCAAGAGAGATAAATCGAAATATCCCATTGACGGCCGAAGGTTTCTCAATTGCTTGGGACAATTTGAGAAACCAGTATGATAATAAGAGAATTCTTATAAATACTCAATTGAGAAATTTATTTAATCTTGCTCATTGCGGGCAAGAATCGGCGAGTGGCCTTAAAAAATTGCAGCGGGAGGTTACTAATTGTATATCGGTCCTAGAGTTATATAAGATTGATGTAAAGTCTTGGGACCCTATATTTGTATATCATTGCTCTTCAAAAATGCCTAAACTCACTCTTTCTGTATGGGAACAGTCTCTGCCAAGTAAAACAGAAATGCCTCGTTGGGAGGACTTAAATAAATTTCTCACGGAGAGATTTCAGGCATTGGAAAGTGTGTCAGATATAACTTGCTCGAATGGAGCACAACCAGGATCTTCTCAATCTTCTCGCCCAAAGTACAGCCAATATGACAAATCGAAACAATTCAGAGTCCATCATACTAAGGTAAATGAGAACAAATGCAGTGTGTGCAAAGGGACACACCCCTTAAAATCTTGCCCGAGGTTCCTTAGTATGGATTTCAGGAAAAGATTAAATATTATTAAGAGAGAAAATCGTTGCCTCAATTGTATGGCGTTGGGTCATAAAGCGGTGGACTGTATGGCTCCTGCTTGCTCAAAATGCAAAGGAAAGCATCATAACCTCCTTCATAAAAATACGATTGCCCAAGATAATAGCTCTAATGCGAATGCTTCTACAGATTTGTCTACGTCGTTGGCTGTGACTCCGAGTACATCGGCTGGTCCGATTACTTCTTCGAATACTCGCGCATTTCATACCTCGGTCACAAGTAGAACGATGCTTGCCACGGCTTGGGTAAATATTTTGAAGGATGGTGTTCCATATAAAGTACGTGCGCTAATAGATCCTTGCTCGGACGACACTTTTATTTCCGCTCGGGTGCAGAAGATGCTTAGGTTGCCCACAAGTTCGGTGTCTGCGGACATTTCCGGTTTGGGCGGTGAACATTTGACTAAATGTTCTAAGATAGCATCCGTCAGAATTGGATCGATGAAAAATAGGTCTTTCTCGTTGGACCTTGAGGCATTTGTGGTCCCTGAAATCACGGGGGATATTCCCACACATCCCTTGGGCAAAATTCGAATTGAAGAACTTCCGGATCTAGATTTTGCGGATCCAAAATTTTATCAAAGTAGTCCAGTAGACATCTTGCTCGGTGGGAACGTTTACCCTGTTATCTTGCTCAACGGAGTAAGGAAAAACGTACTTGGCTCGCTTTTGGCTCAAGAGACCGTATTTGGGTGGATATTAACCGGTCCGACAACTGATTTAGTCCATCTGAAGTCACTTAGCATCTCGCATTGCACTAGAGTATCAGTGCAAGACGAACTTTCGAAGTTCTGGGAAATTGAGGAGATTCCCAAAGTTCCGATTGTATCTGTAGATGACCAAAAATGCGAGGATATTTATCGAACTACGACGACCAGAGGCTCCGATGGGAGATATACGGTAAACTTGCCCTTTAAAGTCGATTACCCTTTCTCTTTGGCGTCAAAATCAAGCCGATATATTGCTCTGACTCAATTTTTGCGGAATGAGACATCGCTAATGAGAGATCCGAATCGAAAATCGGATTATGACAAAGTTATTCTTGAATATTTGTCTCTGGGTCATATGGAGAAAGTAGAAGGGTTTGTCAACTATCAAAATTGTTTTTACTTGCCCCATCATGGCGTATTTAAGCCCGAAAGCGTAACGACGAAGTTGAGAGTAGTCTTTAACGCTTCGTGTCCCTCGGTAGACGGCAAAAGCTTAAACGACGTGTTGTATGTTGGCCCTTCGCTTCAAAAGGACATAGTTTCGCTCGTTTTGAATTGGCGCTTATACAAATATGTATTTAATGCGGACATTTCTAAAATGTATCGCCAAATTTGGATTAACCCATTGCATTCCAAATATCAGCGCATTCTATTCCGATCTTGCCCGGAAGAGGAAGTTTCTGATTACCAGTTAAAGACAGTAACATTTGGCGTCAATTGCGCTCCTTACTTGGCTCTTAGGACGCTGTTGCAACTGGCTGATGACGAGGAGCATCGCTTTCCCATTGGTTCCAAAATTCTACGAAACAATATGTATGTAGATGATGCGTTGGTAGGGGTGCATACTGTCTCAGAAGGTTTAAGAGCGAGAGAAGAATTGATAAAAATTCTTTCATCAGCCGGGTTTGGTCTCCGGAAGTGGACGTCTAATTCTAGAGAAATTTTGGATGGTCTTGCTCGTGAGCATCTGTTAAATGAAGATTTTCTTGATCTGGGTGACAAGAGTTCTGCGAAGACATTAGGTATTCGATGGAATGCCTCATCAGATAGTTTCTACTTCGTTATAGATACAATTCAAGAAAGAAGTTCTTACACGAAGCGACAAGTGTTGTCCATTATAGCGAAGATTTTTGACCCTCTGGGCTGGCTCGCGCCGATTGTAATAACTGCGAAAATTCTGATGCAACAGTTATGGCTAGATGAGATTGGATGGGACGATCCATTAAAGCCTCTTACTCTGATAAACTGGAAGAATTTTGTCTCTACTTCGTCAGGAATCGAAGAGATTAGAATACCTCGCTGGGTAAATTACTCTCCAAATTGCAATATTGAATTGCATGGTTTCTGTGACTCGTCAGAGTCGGCTTACGCTGCTGCGTTATATTTGAGAGTTGAAGTTGGTACTGATGTCTATACGAATTTGCTCGTTGCGAAGTCCAAAGTGGCGCCGTTGAAGAAATTGTCCTTGCCACGGTTGGAACTCTGTGGGGCCTTTCTCTTAGCAGAGCTAGTCGATTCCGTTCTGCCTCAGTTGGATATTCCAAAAGCCTCTTTGTTCGCTTGGTCGGATTCGACTATCGTTTTGTCTTGGCTCAAGAAACCATCTTACTCTTGGACGACGTTTGTGGCAAATAGGGTGTCTATTATTCAGGAGAAGGTAGGGAGCGACTGGTATCATGTCCCTACAGATGAGAATCCGGCAGATTTAGCAACCCGGGGGCGGACTCCTTTAGAGCTAAAGGAGTGTGGTTTATGGTGGCATGGACCAAGCTGGCTCAAATCGCCGAGAAGTGAATGGCCCTCAGGCGCGGTTATATCCGAAACAACCCTTGAAGCTAAACCTGTAAAAGTTCATCTTGCTCGATCTGCCGTAGAAGAAGATATATTGGAAAGGTTTTCTCGTCTCTCCACTGCAACTCATGTCATAGCGTACATATTTCGGTTTGTCCAAAGGACACATCCAAAAACCAAGAAAACCGTTTGTTTTGATAGCATTAAATTAACCGCAGATGAAATTGGCTTTGCTCGTCGCCGTTTGATGTCTCTTTCTCAAAGAATCTACTTTCCTTCGGAGTATGATTGCCTCCATAAAAATCGAAAACTTGATTCTGGTAGCCCTCTTTTGTCGCTAAATCCCTTTCTCGACAAGGATGGTCTTATTCGAGCTAATGGACGTTTGAGTTCTACCCTTTCTCTACCGTACGATGAACGGTACCCGATTATTCTTGCCCCAAAGAGCAGATTTGCTGCACTGTACGTGGATCATGTTCACCGTATGACCAACCATGGTGGCATTCAGCTGACTCTGGCTACAACGCGCCTCGAATGTTGGATCATACGAGGCCGAAACTTAGTAAAAACCCACTATCGACATTGCACGAAGTGCGTTCTGGCTCAGAAGAAACGACAAACGCAGCTGATGGCTGCTCTTCCTCCCGAGAGGACTACCTTTACCCGGCCGTTTTCCACATCAGGGGTCGATTTCGCTGGCCCTATTGAAATTAAGAACTTTAGTGGCAGAGGTTGCCGCATTTCCAAGGGTTACATTTGCTTGTTTGTGTGCTTCGCCACCAAGGCGATACACTTAGAACCTGTCAGTGATCTCTCCACCCCTGCCTTTATTGCCGCTCTGTCCCGATTCGTTGCCCGGCGTGGATGCCCTCGTCATATTTACTCGGACAACGGTAAGAATTTCGTGGGTGCAGACCGTGAAATTCGTTCTAATTTGATGAAGATTGTCGCAGAGGCGAAGGACGACTCCCTTACTCGTTACGGCTTCCAGAAATTGGAGTGGCATTTTAACCCCGCCGCAGCTCCACATATGGGTGGGCTGTGGGAGGCGGGGGTTAAAAGCTGCAAGAGTCACCTGAAGAAAATCTCGGGACAAATTCGTCATACATTCGAAGAATTATCCACTATCCTTGCTCACATCGAATCGTGCCTAAACTCCAGGCCTCCCCTACCCAATTCCATTACACCATGCAACGTTACATATAAATATTTATTAAAAATAAACAGAATGCATGAATAATTTTAAACAAACGGCATTCATATTCAGATACCCCCCATAAAAGGTCAAAAGAAAGGGAAATATGCTCAGCAAAAAAAAAAAAAAAGATATTATGAAAATTGGGGGAAATTGCTGAAAAATTTCCCATTTACACATTTGATATGTTTCGGCAGAAGCAGAAAACAGAACAAAACTGAAGTGAGGAAATACCATATGGAAAAAAGGAAAGTTGATTTTTTTCTGTGCGTATTTATGCATTCCGCAAAAAAATTCCTATATTGTTAATTTGTACAAAACGGATTTTTTTCATGTGATTTCCTGTTACCCACTTTCCAGGAAATGCGATGCTTTTTCTTCATGCGACACCATGTAAGGGTCGGATGAGTGGGTTTTATTGGATCTCCAAACAGCGATTCGATATGGTTTGTTAAATGACAATACGCATGGAAGTTGCTACTGTTGGGGTTTTAGTACTTTTTCAAAGTCCGTACAAAGTATTATGTGTTAAAATATGTCAAGGAAAGTTATAAATATTTATATTTTTTAGTGCATTATAAATATTAAAAATATAAAACATTAAAAATAATTATAATTAAGAAGTTAATGAATACAGAGATGTGCGTTATACACCGCTTTTCTATATTAAAATATATATGGTTAAATAGCTATAATCGGATGAAAACTACCCTGCACCCACATTTCAAAATTATAGATTTCTTTCATGTACGCCAATCGAACTATAATTGTGCTTATAGAACGAGGAAAAACCAGTAAAGGAAGTCCTTAAGTCGGACGAGGCCGACTTTATGATACCCTACACAACTTTGCTAATTTAGTTGAGCTCCACATAACAATTAAAAGTTTTTATGGAAGAATTTTATCATACACGCTATGATTATAATTATTATTTAAAGTTCAAAGGACTAAATATGTCGAATTGCTATATCCAAATCTGAACCGATCTCCATAAAATTTGGCAAAGATATTTCTGAGCAGTATTTGATATATTTCCCTGCATATCGTTGTTACGGAGTGCATATTACGGCTGTGGGTAACAAATATAACAAATCGGATGAACAATACATATGGTAGCTATAGCTATATCTGAACCGATCTTCACCAAATTTGGCATACTACCTTCTGGACTCAATTTGATCGTATGTACCACCAAATTGCCCATTTGGGCAAATATTAGACGTATGGTGCACAATGAAAGGTAAATCGGACCAAATCAAAAAGATCTGGCAACGCTATGCCTGAGTAAAAGCGTAAAAAGTGACAGCTAATCATTTTATTTAGTTAGTGTGCGATACAATATTTTTTTAATTAAAAAGAAATGCTTGAACTGTATTTCTATGTATAAAAATCTTAAATTTGTTGGAGTTCACTCGGATTGTAATAGAAGTTCTTTATAATTGGAATCAACATCTATCCCGAATTCAAATGTTATAAACGTGTTGCTGTTGTTGAAGAAAATATTGCTGAATTCCAAAATAACTGTTGTTGGCCATTTGCTTTGAGTGCATATTTGGTTGTCTTATTTGCTGTTGTTTAAGTGGACGATGCCTGCTGCTTCTAAGACTTTGTGTGACTCCTGTAAGGGTGCTATTGGCAAAGGTGGGTCCATTATGTGCAGAATAACTGGTTCCACTCAGAATGTGCTGATTTCTCGGCCAAAGATATAGCTGCATTGAAGGCGATTGGTAAATCAGTATATATATGTGGAAAGTGTGATCGGAACCTGGATAATGGTGGAAGGCGTCATATTTCTGATGATATTCAGTCCCTTAATAAGAAATTTGATAATTTCATCACTAGCAATCAAAATGAGCAGGACTCAATCAAAAAAGTGCTGGAGGAAATAAAAACCAATATGACTGCTTGTCTCAATGATATGAAAAGAGACATACTAGAATGCAATAAGAGAATTGATGAATTTGCTTCCTTTTCTTCAAATATTTTGGACCTGCAAGTTGAGAACAATATCCTTCACCGCAGGCTAAATCGGGGTGATATCATAATTAGTGGATTACCGGAAAATATTACTGATCTCTTCGGTGTGGCGGTTGGTCTGGCAGATCACTATAAAATGTCTATTTCCCCATATGATATTAACCATGTCTGTTACATGCAAAAGCACAAGATGTTACTGATAAAATTCAACACTGTAAGGGTACGAGATGCAATAATGAAGGAGTATTTTAAAGAACGCCAACTAAAGGTCTCAGATATTATTAAAGGTGATGGGTCGGACATTGAAAAGCGCTTATATTTGAACGACCATTTCCCACCTGCTGCGTCAAAATTAAACATGGTGTGCAGAAAATTGCGGGACAAGAAATTGGTTTCAAGGTTCAAGATTCTTAATAATGACAAACCGAGGGCTGTATTGCATCTTTCTGATGGAAAAAAGGTAATTCGAGACTATGATGAGTGCCTGATGCTTCTCAACAGGGGTGATGCAGTTTAATGGAGTTGATGTTTTAGTTTTCTTATCAAGTTCAATCTATTTACCTGCAACACTTTCTGATAAAGTATGATAAAATAATTCATTCGTTATGATATTAGTTCCCCTGATTAATTTGAAGAGCATAATTGAATTGTGTTGTATTGTAAATTCGAATTTAATTTTTAAGTATATTATTCTCTATTGATTTTTGATTCTTTTTTACTACTTTTTAATTAAACAAACAGTATAGTTTTTAATGATTAGCTGTTGAAATTGGAATTAAAATTTTTCATGCGTGAAATACATTTAATGGTTATTGTTAATTGGTTCCCCACAAGATTTACTTTATTTGAGTATGATGTCTTCTAATTTTGACATTGGTCCTGTAGTTAGCAACAATGAATATTTAAGGTCTTTTTTAACACCGTTATATGGAAAATTCAGAGCAGGGCATTTAAATTGTCAAAGTATTAGACCCTCAAAAAATTCGATAAAATTCAACGAATTTAAGTCAATTCTTTCTGATTCGCAATTAGATGCAATAGGCCTTTCAGAAACATGGCTAAAGCCTGAAGTGTCATCTCGGGCAGTTGACGTTCCTGGTTATAAAATTTACCGGAATGACCGCCGGTGCCTGAGGGGTGGTGGTGTGGCTATTTATATATCTACTAAGTTAAAGCATAGCATTGTTTTTAAATCTTCAATTGTAGGAAAATGTGAGTCAATATTTTTAGAGATGTTTTCTGGTAATACAAAAATTTTGTTTGGAGTTGTTTATCTACCTCCTGTTGGGGATATTTCAACATTTGAGCAACAACATCAGAATCTATTTTTGAGATATTCCAATATAATTCTTGTTGGAGACTTTAATTGTGATCTGTTCAACCCCTCTCGTGCTGCATTATTGAGAGCTATGTGCTTGAGATTAAACTTAAACGTTTCTCATAATGTAAAACCCACTCATTTTGATATTGTCCATAAAAGTACAAGCTTGATTGATTTTTGGTTGCTTAGTGATTTTACTATGAAATATTGTTCTGGACAAGTGCACTATCCGTATATGTCGCACCATGCGCTGCTTTTTGCGTGTTTTGACATAAGTATGAATGAAATGGAAGAAATAATTGAATACCATGATTTTGAACACATTAATTGGGATGGAGTATATGAATGCTTATCAAATTTTGATCAAACAGTGTATTATGGCGCCAACAATACTGATGGTAAATGGGAAATTCTATACAATTTACTTAAAGATCTTTATTATTATGTCCCAGTGGCACGTAGACATATTTCACCAAAAGCAGAAAGTTGGATTAATTGCAGAAATATTTTATCTGCTAAATCTTTAAGAGATTGCTCTTACAAGGCCTATATAGAAAATCCTTGTCTATCGAGATGGGCAGTGTACTGCAAGTATCGTAATAGGGCAAAGAGAGTTATACGTAATGAGAGATTTAAGTATTACTCTAGGTATTTTCGTAACCTTAATACTAAGAGTCTGTGGCGCATTCTTCGAAAGCATGGTTGTACTGAGGACATTGATGTGCCTAACAACTGTGATGCGGAAAGTGTTAATGAGTTTTTTGCTAATTGTGTGACATCTGATAGTCATGGTGAAATTGATATTGGAGAATTTCACGATAATGAAACGTCTTTTTCTTTTTCATGTGTTGCCATTGATGACGTTGTAGATGCAATTGGGAAAATTAAGTCCAAGTCTGTTGGCGTGGATAAAATATCTATTGAATTTGTTAAACTAATGTTTCCTTACATTTCATATATGTTACTAGATTTAATAAATTCTATTTTAACGACTTCGGTTTTTCCCCAAAGTTGGAAACTAGCAAGGATAGTAGCGATACCAAAAGCATCCATGGTACTGGGTCCTGAAGACTTGAGACCGATTGCTATACTCCCTGCGGTGTCTAAAATCTGTGAACACATATTAAAAAATCAGATTATGTCACACACTAGTCCTTCAATTTTCGAGGGTCAGCATGCCTTTCGGCGTGGACGTAGTACAACTTCTTTACTTTTACACTTGACTGAGTCCATTAGGAAGGATCATAATGAAAATAAAATTACTGCACTTCTTTCATTGGATATGTCTAAGGCTTTTAACTCTATCTCCTATAATACTTTAATATATAAACTTAAAAATTTATTCAATTTTTCTTCTTCGGCCTGCAAAATGATAATGTCGTATATGAGTGGCAGATTCGCAATATGTTGAGATGAGTGGAGTCAGATCTAGTACTGTTTCTCTAACATGTGGAGTGCCACAAGGGTCTGTTTTAGGTCCGTTGCTGTTTCTTCTTTATATTAATGACCTCTCAGAGCATATTAATCTTAATATCTGTTCA